CACCCCCCCCCCCCCCCCCCCCCCCCCCTTTAAACACTATCACCTCGGGAATGAACCTAGCAGCTGGGTCTAGGTCTTCATCGATGGATATGGAATGGACTCATGAAAAGTTTTCAGTCGGACGATATCGCAAAGGAACGGCAGAACTAAACATGTACTACAGAGACGATGCTGAAGGCAACGAGCTACATGAGGTATCCCGTTTGGTTTGCGCTCAATTGTTCTACACGATAGAATTATTCAGATGCATGGTAGTATTACTTCACTAGAGGATAATATTTTCCAAATCGACACCGACAAGTACCACACTGACAGTATGTGAACGAGTTTCTATTCTCAGTGTCCTTACAAACTGATCTTTACATGATGTTCAGTGTGCTTGGTGAAGTCTGGTCCAGCTGAGGAGAAGAGGTACGAGTATATGGTTTTTGCTGAGACATCTGGCAAAAACGCTTGCAGGTAAGAATACAGTACCAGAAAAACTTGAAACGAACAAAAAATTTCACCTCTCAGCAGATTTGACTGTTTATTTGGCTGTATGATAGAATATGTTACCACAGATAAGAATTCGAAAGGAAACGACTGGGGATTACTAGTTGATTAATCATTACTTGTTGATCGATCGGCTCAACATCGAATGTGGACTCCCTAAGACATATAAAAGAGATCTGGTAACCTGTCCCATGGCCACTTCTGATGTTGTGTGCACGGGTTTAAAGCGCTTCATTTCACGCTTTCAGGTCAGCTAACCTTGGTTAGAAACGCTGTTCCAGAAACAGGGTCCATCGTTGAGGAATTCTCTCGCAGGGGTGGGGATCGTATTTGCTCGTTGTTGGGAGAGAAGGGGTCGTATTTGCCTTCTGACTTCTCATGATTTTTCCTGTTTGACATGTCTGACCCCGCTCGACACAAAATTTTTGGGATAAAATAGGGAAATTGTTGGTGATCTCCATCGAAATCCTCAACTAATAATGTGTTCTGTCCAGAAAGCATGAAGTCCACATTCGACTTATGACTGAAGCAAGTGTACGTTGGGAGCAAGTGCTTACTAGGGAAGGTCGTCAGGTCGAAATGGCCATTTGTGATGAGATGTAGATCTATAGACGTGGTTTTGGACGCTGATCTTGATGCCTTCAATATTTGCAAAGCGATTCTCTGAACGGAGTTATGGAACCGCGTTTACCACGCAACAGGTCATGGGATCGGATCCCTGCTGAGCTAAACTTTTTTGCTTTTTGCGCAAACGTGGCAAAAAGTGATTTTGCCGCCACTACTACTTCAGTTCCCACCTGAGCTTGTCTGAAGAAAAGTTTGCCTCCGTTTATTAGTGCGCTTGGACTACTTGTAGAAGCACTGTAGTGCACTGTAGTTTACAAGGAGTCCAAGCGCAGTAATGAATGGAGGCAAACTTTTCTTCAGACAAGCTCAGGTGAGAACTGAAGTAGTAGTGACGGCAACTTTTTGCCACTGTTGCGCAACAAGCAAAAAGTGCAAGGACCCGATCCCATGACCCGTTGCGTGGTAAAGATCAGCGTCCAAAACCACGTCTAGTGATCTACATCTCATCACAAATGGCCACTTCGACCTGACGACCTTCCCTAGTTAGAAATTTGCAAAGTAAAGATGGGGGGGGGGTAGCTAAGGGGGACGTCATGATGGAGGAGTTCGAAAGGAGGGGCAGGGGTCATGTTTCGCAAAATTCTCAGCCAACGACAGGACGTGCTGTAGGAGCAAAGCGTTGTGGCTATAATTGAGCGCTATCATGTAGCATATAATCTCAACACATCGTTGAAGGCAGTTGGCACGATAAATTCCTGAAAACGAGTGGGATTGATACGAGTGGCTGGACGGATTTCCGCGACCTTGCGTAGGCGCTGGATAGCGGTTTTCCAGAATGGAGTACCCTTATAAGGATCCTATCAAGCTACAACATTCCGTTCCAAACGCCCGCCACGAACGCCCGCCCACAAATGGACGACCTTACCAGATGCCCGTTTTGCTTCATTCTGAGTAAAACTTAAAGCGAAGGGATTATTTTGAAGCGGCTGCGGTGCTGAATTGGTATACGAGTACATACAGGCATTCGTACCTGCCTGAGCGGTTATTTGCAATACGCCTACGCGAAACTCCTCCGAAATTGCTTCTCAAGAACGAAGGCTTTTCTTCGCAGTTTTTGACCGTTTCACTTAATTTTTCTCGCTATTTTACCACTAGATAGCGCCCCACTAGTATTTTAAGCTCAGTACCAAGATATCGTCCAACTTCCTTCGAAGGCAGTGGGCCCTTCTGAGGGTGCCTCCCTCAGAAAAGGCGCTACGTAGCACTTGCTTGGGGTCGCGGAATCCTATCCTGCCAGGCGGTATCGGTCCTACTCTTCCTATAGGTTTATCGTGCCAATCCTTTAGGGGCAGAATGAATTTTTGAGATAACCTCCCCGCGATGCTACAATTTATTATTTTCTTGGGCATTTTTCGTTCCTCATGGGACATCTTGAGGAACAGTATATATATCTATGTAGTTTTCGAACTTTGTCTGGATGTCCCTGAGCTGTTACTAGTGGTGTAGTAATACAGTTGTGAATTTGTCATTTTACAGATCGTATCACGCGTTTGCTCGTAACACGGACGAATTCAACCGGAGGTACTTTGATGACGTGTCGGAATTTATGAAAAACGTAAGTGGCTTCTGTTGTCACAGGTCGTACCTTTTATCTTTTTATTTAGTTGTTTACATTTGAATGTAGAATGCTTGGCTGCAGACAACACAACAACCACATTCCTACTCTTAAGTTGTACACTCGCAGCAAGATTTCGCTGAAAACACAATTTCAAGATGAGATGAAGAAAAGGCAAAAAAAAATTCTTCAATTAAGTAATGAATAATAAACGAAAGTTAGTTTATACTGTGAGCGCTACGACATAGACTAAAGAATCTGAAGACAGGACAGGGTACATCATCGTTGGGTACTCCTCTAGACTGCGAGGTCGTATTTGGTCCGGAAAAAGTTTTTTTAGTTGATTTTTCTTGTTTCTGGATGCTATTAAAGGGGAAGGTCGCTTCGCTCGTTGTTGGGGGAGGGGTGGTGCCGTTTTTTCCTTCTGACGGGAGACTTGCGACGTTGGGGAAAAGTTTTCCTGGTTGTTGACTTTTTGCGGTTTTTCCTGCTTGACATGCGCTCTATACAGCTCCCCTCCGGTCGATCGTCAGCAACATGTTTGGGAGAAAGTAGGAGAGTCCCCGGAAGAACTGAAAAAGTGGTGGGAACTTGGGAAAATCAAAGAAAGGGGTTGTAGGATGGTGAAGTGGGGTCGTGTTTTCCGCGCGTTTTTTCCCGTTTCACGTATGCAGTATACTCCCCCCCCCCGCTAGACGGATTGATCGTATCCGAGGAGGGAATCAGGGAGTTGCGGTATGAAGCCAGCTTTTGCGGCTCTAGGGGGGGGGTTCGTACGGACTCCACTGATCCCCAACTAGAAGTGCCTGCCTAAAGTGGCAGACATACTCTTTTGAGACCCGCTAGATTGACACGGGTGATTTGAGATGATCCAGCCTCTCGACGTGAACCTATGGTGACTAAAAAACTTTAGGTCAACGAACTGAGCGAGCTTGTTTTCAACGACTGAACATCCAATTTTCGTGCATATTTGAGGACTTGTAGCGCATATTTTAAAGTTTTGGGACTTCTGGCTTCTGGGACTCTCCTTCAACATAGCCCGTACACTAACTTCAAACTTCGCACCTCCACAGGGGCTCTTTACCCTTATCCTGGGAATGCTCATTTACTTGGTGCACTAGGCAATGGCTGTTCGGTTTCGCAACACGTTTCTGTGCATGCCATATCTTCGGTTCTTCAAGGCCCTTGTCTTTCACCCTGCAAGTGAA